ACTGTCAGATACCCATCGTCTACATTCAAACCTGTGTATGATCTCATATTAACATATACAAGAGAAAGATCAAGAGTTCATTAACATCAGGGGTAACAATGCCACATGGCATAAGCAAAGCTTTGACAGTCATTTTACAGCAGCCCATCAAACTTTCATTCCAGCATCTTCTGTTCATGTTCCCAGTTGGCGCTAGCCACCATCATCGTTTTCCTCCAGCTTTCGGTTATTCCTGAAGGAGCCTTTTAACGGTTCAGTTCACATACGTATACTGTAAGTGTCTGTATGATGCGGGGACCATTTTAACATTGAGCACAACATAAATGTGAGTTTGTATGCAGTACACAGAGTCTCTGATACGGTGACAGACGGGACATCTTGGTGTGCAACTGCATCCTCTCTGGAGAAGGGAAGCAGGTCAGTGATGAGAATCCACAACAATGGCAACAGTAGCAGGAGAAGAAGAGTGCACCAAGGAGAAGTGAAGTTAGGAAGAAAAGGCGAGAACAAAACACTGCGCTCCTGCCCCTCAGCATACCTGCAGATCACAGAGAGCCGACAGGGTTAGGGTCCCTACCACAACACACATTTCAGGTTCAACTGTATGGCCTTTTGCTTGTGACAACACAAAGCCTCACAGCTGGGTTTTTGTTCGTTTCCTTCTTACCTTTAAATTTGTTATTTTTAGCTTTCAGACACATCATAATAATAATAATAATAATAATAATAATAATAATATTGTGGATTAATTCATCTCACAATACACAAATTGACAAAAAACATTTTTAGATTACAATACACTAGTTGTGAAGAGCATTGTAGTGTCAGCTGAGTGTTTAGACTCATTCTTAATACTGCTATTTTTCAGCCTCTCATAATAGTTTCTGCAATTATGAATTAATTCATCTCACAATACACAAATTGACAAAAAACATTTTTAGATTACAATACACTAGTTGTGAAGAGCATTGTAGTGTCAGCTGAGTGTTTAGACTCATTCTTAATACTGCTATTTTTCAGCCTCTCATAATAGTTTCTGCAATGACACAGTGTAGCGTAAACACTTGGTTGCATTATGAAAATGGCACCCCTAACTTTTCAGGATTCACATTATAAGATCATTTTCTTCATAGGAACAGCATGTCCTGCTACGACAGTCAAATCCCCCAGGAGGAAAATCAACAGATTTTATTGTTTATACTACAGCACACTGGTATTCATGTGAGGAGAGTTTACGCTCTTCTGTAAATATAAACGACTCTGTAGTGTCACATCAGCAAGCCCTTTAATTACCTTCTGGTCTGTCAGCACAGAGTTGCTCTGGAGTGGAGGCAGGTGGCTGTTGAGCAAGGCAGCGCCGGGTCGGTCGTGCTCACAGAAGATCGTACCGTTGATGTAATGGAAACGATCACCAGGCATCAGTCTGTTTCTACAGGTGGCACAGCTGAAACACTGCAGAGAAACCAAAGAAATGGATCAGATTCAGACTAGTTTTTTCTGTGGGAAGTAACACAATAAAGCACATTAATATAATATAGACATGATATCAGCCTAAACTAACCTCATTTTTCTCACAAACAGTTTTGCAAGTGAAGGCACCTAGTATGAAAGACCAAACCTGGATGGATAAACATTACTTAAAATATAAAAACACTGCAGTCTAATTTGGTGTAAGCATAAAAATAAATCAAACAAAGTGTCTACATTAAACAACAAAAGATGGAGGGCACATTTTCTTTCTCTGCTGATACTGAGGGGGCACACCTTCCTGTCTTACAGTCTCTGCTCACCAAATCCCAGATGTTTCTGTCAAACAAGCAGCGGGAGACAAAGCACGCTGATGTGAGAGCTTGGGATTTACCTTGAGGTGGTAAACATTTCCCTGTGCCCTCATCACCATTTCACTGGCTGGGATCGACTGGCCGCAGGCGCTGCACGCCCCGCTGTGCCCGAACAGTCTGCAAACACAAAAACACAGATTGCTCAAGCTGTACTCAGTCTGTACATACTCCAAAATAGAAAAACTAGCAGCTTCCTTTCCTCCCCTTCCTCCCCCTCCTCCTCCCTCCTCTTGTGCTACCGCTTCCTTCCTCTCACCTGATGTAGTCACTCCGACACAGAATCATGCCCCCTTTGCTGTAGCAGGTGGTGCCAATGTCCCCCAGCTGGGCTTGGCAGCAAGAGCACTTGAGACAGCGAGTGTGCCAGTAGCGCTCCATGGAGAAGAGTAGGAAGCGGTCAGCAATCTTCCCACCGCATCCTGCACAAGACCTGGAGGCGGGCGGTACGCCTGATGCTTGGCTGTTTACCATGCTGATGTGGGTCCTCAGGGGCTCCTAGAAATACAGGATAGAGGTTTGACAACTGAGGCAGGTGTAAGGGCAAGACCCAGCTATGTTTACTTTACTGCCTTTTTAAGACAATATAAACAGGCTACTGCTGTCTCCTTTTACAATGTCTCATGTAACCTTCTTAAATGAATAATTTCTGAACAAAATATATTTACTTGTAATTACAAATAGGAGTTTATAGTAGTGCTGCTGTATGTGAAGTCACTACACACACACACACACACACACACACTAGTCGTTAACACTTGCTCTGACAAACGTACAGTGGGCTTCTGCATGACTGCAACCGACTAAAAACACCAAGACTTGTAATATTAACCTACTGATCAATACAAGAACGAATATTAGAGATTTACACATCTTCATTACACAGAAGGCACCACATAAAAGGGGAAAGTCATCAAATGGGACTTTTGAGACTAAATGTAATATGAGAAGCATTGTAAAAGTATTCCCTTACATTACAATTATAGTCTTAACCTTCACACAACATTGTTTTTATCTTAACCGGCATGCTGTTTACAAGAAGGAGACGCAGAAATGCGCGCGCGGAGCGAAAAAAAGGAAAAAGGAAGGCCATTTTACCTGATCGAGCCAAAGGTTTCCCTCCTGCGTTGAAGTTTGACAAGGCGGAAAAATATGTACAAGAACCTAGACACACTTAGAGTAGTAAAACCTCACTTAGACTTGACATGTTCTGGTCTCCATGGCTTTCCAGAAAAAAGGCAAAGAAACAGAACGTTAACCCCGGAACAGCACGCTCACGGTAACAGTTGAACAAACTCTCCCCTACATCCAGCTCCGCTGATAAATAACTACATGTAACCATGAAGAGGAGACAGGACGCAGCTTTTCTTCCGCTCCTCTCCCTTGCAGCTGTCTGACTATCAACACGCCTTGATGTGTTTCTAATGCATTTGACAGCGACACTATTCATCAAAATGCGCAAGGGGCTATTTAAATTACCAAAAGGAGACGCAGCCGAGATGAAGCGTGCAGCAGCCAATAGGAGAGCAGGGGGCGTGTCCACAGTCAAAGTGATTTATGAGTTTATAGGGGCTGATTAATATGCACATTCACGTGCCTTAGCTCCCCGAAGGTTACCACTGAGTGTGTGCATTGACATAACAAACAGCTATTTAAAAAAATTCCGGCCTGTGCTTCTATGTTTGTCATACATCATCGACACCTAAACTAAGTGTACAAAGTAGAAAGGCGTTGAAAGACGTTCATAAAAGTACAACATTGCTTAGTTAATCAGAATTGAGCACTGAATTGTAAATAAAATAAATGAAACTGTTTTCTCAGTTATCTTCTGCCAAAATGTCATTTCTTTAAGCAATTATAAGATGATGAGCTTCAATAGCCTAAATGGGTAATTAGGCTATTAAATAAAAGCTAATAATAATAGTGATGATAATGATTATTATTATTATTGATATTATCATTGCAGAGTCAAACCATTTAGATGTGCCTTTTTATTTAGTTTAAATTGTCAACATGAGCACAGGGAGAAAATCCACAGACATTTCTTCCATGCCTTCTTCAGTTTACACTCAGCTACATTTGCACATGAAGAAATAATCAAAAAGCAAATTTCACAAAAGTCACAAACTTAATTTAAGATGCATCAGTATCTTAAACTTAAATCAGTATCTCTAATCAGTCACTGGGTTTGTAGTTTAAAATTACTTTACACAGGAACATTGTCATTTCAAGGTAAAAATCAATATAGAAATGTTATTATTATACAGCACACCATTCATTCTTTGTAGCCTATACAACTTCAAAAATGGTGTGTGTGTATATGTGTCCACAAATATGTCATCCTTCCTTCCTTCTATCTAATTTTTGTTTGTTTTTGATATTGTCATTGAAACCATGGAGTTAATATGGCCAATAAAGAAATAAAGCCAATCATACTTACATAGGCTACATTAATGAAAGATGCACAGAATTTGATGAGGACACATATGATCTTGTTCCACCTCATAGGAAAGTGAAGATGACTGTCTTGGGATTCATTGTTGCTCAAGGTCTCTCAAAGAGGGCAGATTAAATCCCAGTAGGTCCAACAGTAGGCCTACTATACTCAGCAGGCTTCATTAACTTGCCACCATGCTGTACTTCCGGCTGACTTCCTGAAGAGGACAGCATCCTATAATGTTAGGAGCAGACACTGGCACCTTTATATTGTGATTTCCTGGGTGCATCTTGGGTTCCTTAATTCCTTCTATCTATCTGTCTGTCTATCTATCTATCTATCTATCTATCTATCTATCTATCTATCTATCTATTTGTCTGTCTGTCTGTCTATCTATCTACAAAAAGGCTATTAACATAGGAATTCAGACCTTTTCAGAGTCTAAAAATAAATATATATATCTACAAAGAGAGAACGAGAGGCTGTAGAAGCATTTTATATACGTATATAAAATCCAATCCACCTGTGGATGGATAAGCATTTTACATCTTACATTGATTGGGCCTTTACATTGATTGCATGATAGATTAAAGAGTAGTTTCAGTTCTAATTATTAGTACTTGTGGTCAAAGCATTGCTATTATTACAGTAGTTGTGGTAATATCAAAAGCACCTTTCAAAGCAGTAATTGCACATTTCTTTACAAAACAAAGTGTTACAGTATTTGAACTATAAAGTCATTATTTCACAACTGTGAAAGCCAGTTTCAACCGTTTTGTTTGAGAAAGGATATTCAAAATAAATTTCATTTCCCTTTATTTAGTTTTATTCTTTTTTTAAGTTCTATGTGAGCATGGTGTTAGCCAAGTCATTTTATTCCAGATTAGAGGAAGAAATGTCAAACTGAAGGGACAAATGACAGAAAACAAGACCAACGCAGTGACACCTTACATACTCGTCTTGGCTGATTGCTCAACTATTCATCCAGCACCTTCACAGTTTTGTTTTGACCAGAACTTTGGATTATGACATATATGCAAACTTAATGACATTCCTGTCAGCCTCAGATGTTTTTATTTGATGCCACCTTAAATTAAGACAGTGATAAGCATCACACCTGCTGAAAATCAGTATGTTAGCATTGTCACTGAATGACTATAGATTGTGACTATAGACATCTGTAGTGTCTACTTCCCACAAATCTCTGAGGTCACTGGCATAACAGTAAGTATATCGATATCCACAGTATAAAATGTGTGGAGCAGGAGGATTGGACCAAAAATCGCAGCAGTAGCATCAGTATTATCAGCAACAATAGTGGAAATTATACAACCCCAAATTAGAAAAAGTTGGGATGGTATTTAAAATCTAAATTAAATGTGAAAATAAAGAATAAAATTGATGAGGTATCACACCAAATAATGTGCTGCTGTATTGTTTTCAAAGTAATACAGGACACAGATTATTTACACATCCCTATTTTTAGTTTTAATTTTGATTTTACATACTGTACCATCCCAACTGATTTAGGGTTGTAGCACTGGTATCAGACACAACTGTAGTAGTTTTAGCAGTGGTAGTTATTGAATCAGTGTTGACGTCACAGTGTTTACTCGACAGTGATCCCTCAGTCTAAACAGTAACCTTTGTGGAGATGTTGACTTTAGCCCCATAAAACATCTGTTTTCAGCACTACAAGCCAACAACCGCACATATGTAGATATGTTATTAACCCACAATGTATTGAAAGGAGCTGCTTTTCTCATAGTGCATGAGGAGGTGGTGTGGGGGGTCGGAATGGCAGCCCAGGCCAATCTTCATCACTCTCTGCTGAGTTCTGACATATTTCCTGTTCCTCTGTCAAGGCCACGATGAAAGTTACAGCTGGCTGCCAGGCTTGACTACACCTGCATCTTCCAGTCTGGGTTCCTGGCCAGTACAAACTACAGTGAATCATCACAGCACCACAGGCTGCCAAGACTAGCACATTTATGAAACCTTGTCACTGTAATATGGAGAGAGCCTTCCATCTGTTTCCTAAGCACCTCAGTGTGATCTGCATTTTGTGGTTTTAGTTTAGAGTCATCCTAAATGCTTGATGTATTCTGAGTCCACAGGTACTGGACTGACGTGGAGTTTTGAGTGATGTCAGCAATGTGGTCATTTCTCACTGGGAATCAGGGAATTTCAACTGGTTGCTTAGTATAATCTTTTACATAATGTTTTCCTCCTTTATTGCAGTCTGTAATACCAAATGATCAGATCATGGAGGTGCTACTCACGGGAAGTCAGAATGGGATCTGAATAGTGCTGTCCCAGGACTCAGTCAATTAGGTTTGATACTATTTAGCATTTATATGCAATACATAAATATTTATGTAATTGTTTATGTATAACACACTACATTATTCTTCTTAAGGCAAGGCACCGGGAGTGGATGAGATCTGCCCCGAGTACCTTAAGCCTCTGGATGTTGTGGGGCTGTCTTGGTTGACACGCCTCTGCAACATCGCATGGCGGTTGGGTACAGTGCCTCTGGACTGGCAGACCGGGGTGGTGGTCCCTCTTTTTAAGAAGGGGGACCAGAGGATGTGCTCCAATTATAGGGGGATCACACTCCTCAGCCTCCCCGGGAAAGTCTATGCCAGGGTACTGGAGAGGAGAATTCGACCGATAGTCGAACCTCGGATTCAGGAGGAACAATGCGGTTTTCGTCCTGGCCGTGGAACACTGGACCAGCTCTATACCCTCTTCAGGGTGGCGGAGGGTTCATGGGAGTTTGCCCAACCAGTCCACATGTGCTGCGTGGATCTGGAGAAGGCATTCGACCGTGTCCCTCGCAGCACCCTGTGGGGGGTGCTCCGGGAGTACGGGGTCCGGGGCCCTTTGCTAAGGGC